TCATTCTTTCGTCCATCACGCCTCTTTACACTCGCTTCCACTCTGTAACCCCTTACGTACTAGTGGAATCCCGCCTCGCTTGGGGTGAAATGCTTAAAAAAATCATTCCTTTGATTCAATAGTTTGCTTTGATTATTATATTTCTTTATTCAATTTTTTTTTCTTGTAAACATAGATTAAACCTATCTCTAAGACTATTAGGAGTATGTGCCGAACGTATAATCTTCCAATCTATCTGTGGGTTCAGACCTTTCTCCTTCATTTCCCAAAATTTTTGAAAATTTTGGGAATTGAATTTAATACCCTATTTATTCTTTGTGGCATATTATTATAGCTTATAGAGTAAATTCCTTCTTAAAGTTTTAGATTATTTTTTGTTTTGTAGTAATTATATCTTTTATGTTTTAGAAGTGCTTGCAACATATTCTTTGTTGAGTTTAGATAAATACTTTACAATTTTAGTTGTGATAGAACTGATATGTATTTCGATTTGTTGGGTTCGCCACAATGGTTCACTCTGATATTTTTAAATATCTAACGAGTCTTTTGTTTCACGGAGAATTTATTTCGTAGCACCAGTTTTTTTTTTTTTTATTATTATTATTCGTATAGATTTAAATAATATTAAAATAACTGATTGCTTTTGGCCATATGGGTGATAATGTCGAAAGGGAATGCAAAACCAGAGCGTGAAACGTTATTCAGTGATGGACACATATCTTTGGAAATTGTATGATATATGAACAGAGATCGTACGACAATCAAACATGGATATTAAAAAAATAAAATTTAAAAAAAATAATCGGAAAGGTAGGTATTAAATATGGATGGAACAGCATTTGTGATTTTAAATATTGAAAATCTGCCGAGTATAAGAACTACGAATTCTTAAAATATGAATGCTACAAAAACGGATATATTAAAATTACATATATATATATATATATATATATATATATGTGTGTGTGTGTGTGTGTGTGTGTGTGTGTGTGTATATATATATATATATATATATATATATATATATATATATATATATATATAAAGAGAAAGATAGATAGATAGATAGATAGTTAGATAGATAATATTAGTGGTAAATATGCACATACATATGCAATCATATATCTAAAATATCTAAATATATATACATACATACATGCATACACATACATGTATATTTGTATAAAAGATAATTCCAAGAGGATAGAATCCAGGTAGAACTCAATGTCCAGGACAGAGTAAGGATATAATAAAAAGGCTTAAACACTATTATTCCATGGTCATAATTTATTCCATTGGAATCCTAAATACGATCCAATTCATCAGACCTACAAATTCAAAAAGAAAACAGAAAAAAACAACTCCGGGAATGAAAAATAAAAAATAAAAAAAAACTTGTTTTTTATTCCCGGAGTTGTTTTTTTCTGTTTTCTTTTTGAATTTGTAGGTCTGCTGAATTGATCGTATTTACGATTCCAATGGAATAAATTATGACCATGGAATATTAGTGTTTAAGCCTTTTTTTATTATATATATATATATATATATATATATATATATATATATATGATTTGAGCGTGCCAAATTATTATGAAGGTTTAGTAAAATTCCCAGAATTGAGCAAACAAAACGTTTATTAATGTTGAACGTGAATGTTTATGATCAAAAGAAGCTAATAAATAAGATAATCAAACAGATAATAACAGATACAAACAAAGGCACAGTTATAAACAAATTAATAGGGAATGTGCTTTCGCTGTTTTGAAATTACTTGAAAAAGTCGACGATCCATAGAATTTGTTAATTGTAGGATGTCATCTGCTGTAATGCCGCGAGATATGTCAAGAATTGCTTCCCATAACTCAGCGTTGCTCCTGAATTGTCGTCCGATGGCGTACAGTCTTCGCTTCATGATGCTCCAAAGGTTTTCGATTGGGTTCAAATCCGGATAATTTGCTGGCCACTTCATTTTTCGAGGTCCATCGAAACCTAACTGTTTCAAATATTCAGTAGTCTTGTCAGCAGCGTGTGAGGGAGAATTATCGTGCATAAAAAAAACAATGGCCCTTCTGAAGGCAACTCTTTGCCTTTTCATCCACGGTTCAAGATGCTCCTTCATAAACGCTATGTATGCATCAGCAGTCATTTTGACGCCTTCTGGTTGTCTTTAAGGGCACACTAATGTGTTTCCAACAATATCACCCCAGATCATTATGCCTCCACCGCCTTGTTGGCGTCTGAAACACTGATGGCGATTCTGTCCGTTCATTACCCAGCCTTTGCACCATCTATCTGGCTCATCAAGTGTTGCTCCAGTTTCGTCTGTGAACAAAACTTCAATCTTCATATTGTCCTCGGTCCATTTCAATCGATTTTGAATGTGATTTCTCGTCAACGGAGGCTTCGATACAGGTTTGACTGTTGTTGATATTTCCCTCAGATACCGACACCAAGTACTTTTAGACACAGTAGGATCCCCAACACGATTGAAAAGCTCTTGACTGGTAAGTCCAGGGTTCTTCTTTGCCTCTCGTTTAAGTCGTGACATGAGACGACGTGAAATAACCCTCGGCTTGCCTTTATATGCCCTTTTGCGTACTTGTGTAGGGTCGGCGGTGAATTTTTCACTGTTTGATGACACTTCCAAATCATTTTAAAAAATTCTACGGTAGATTTACTTTTTGAGAGTTCTGAGGTAATAGTGTTCTTTTCAGCATCACTTAAACTGCTTTTACGGCCCATCTTTTCACTAAATTCTTATACTTTTCTAATAATTTGGCACGCTCAAATCACCGTGCTGATAACAAATATGGCGCCAGTTTGTTTAAATTGCGCAGATTAGTACAAAAATTTCAGCGATTGCGCAGTTCAGTGTTGCCAACATTGTGTGAAAATCTTGTGTGAACTGATTGGACGGTGTTTGAAATATTAGAAAAAAAGTTATCTCGATAATAATTTGGCAGTGTATATATACACACACACACACACACACACACACACACACACACACACACACACACATATATATATATATATATATCAGAATGGGAAGAAGAGTACGGATTATAAAATAAATAATCATAAAATGTGAATGAAAACGTTAACAACAACAAACAAGCAAATAACAAAAAAGTGGCTAACCCATTTTCGATTCTCGCTCTTCGGCGCAAATCGAGGACAAACATTGAAATTCTGTGCACAATGTTTACAAAGTAACAAGTTTAGAACTGCCAATGAATCAGTAGAGAAAAATATCATGAGACAAGAGTTGCATTAAGGCTATTTCTTAAAAAGTAATGATTATATGAGAACAGATTTCTTACCAGTGATTTGTAGCGATAAATTTATAACGCAATTCGGTAGATCTGATATTTTAAGCAGAGCTTGGGCCCTTCATGAAAATAGACCAGTAACACAACTTAAAACCCTTATGTAACTAACCCGACGCAAAGGCCAAACAGGTGAGAATTTCTACTTGTGGCCTAGTTTCCCAGAACTGCCACATTCTACCAATCCCTTTTAACTCTCAGTTTCTTTCTGGTGATTGGCGCTAAAGAATCTTCCTAGTTAACCAGTCTAAAAAATGTAAATATGTAGAACTCCAGTTATCTGTTTCCGTAACTTTGTGAATTCTGTCTACGCGCTCGGGGTATTTGAGACGGCGTACTTACGGCTATATATAAGTGGGTGAGAAAGATGAATAGAGAAAGAGTAAAGGAAAGAGAGAGAGAGAGAGAAACAGAGAGAAAAAGGAAGGGAAAGAAAGAAAGAGGAAGGGAGACAGAGATAAAGATAGAGAGTGTGTGTGTCGGAATATTTATTTCAATACATGCACTCGTGCGTTTAAACTGATTAATATAGAATTATGCCTGAACTGAATGCTATTTGTCGACGACAAGCGTGTAGCGTTACCTGCACATGCCAAAGCGGCTATTCTTGAGACTGCACATTCATTCGTCTATTCATTGGTACTGCAAGGTCATTTTATTTGAAAGAAATCCCGTTGAAAGATTAAGTTAGAAATAAAAGAAGATAGTGTCATCTGCAAGAGAAGGAGGCACGTTTCTAAACAAGAAGGAAAATAATAATAATAATAATAATAATAGTAAAGAAAGGAAAAGAAAAAGAGAAAGGAAAAGAAAAGCGGAAAGAAGAAATTAAAGACCTGTATACAAAAAGAGATTCAAAGAAAGCGTAAGAAATTCTGAAGAAATTTCTAAGAGAAAAAGCAGGTGGAGAAGTAGTATTAAGGTGCAAAGAAAGAATGAAAGAAAGAAAGAAAGAAATGGAGGTAGCCAAAAAAAGAAAGTAAAAATAAAAAAAGAAGGCAAAAAAAAAAGGAAAGGAAAATAAAGAACAGAAAGTCAACAAGTGAAAACCAAAACGAAGAGAGAAAAAAAGAAGATAGAGGGAAAAGAAATCAAAGAGAAAAGTAAAACAAAGATTGAAAAAAAAGACAAAGAAAATGGAAACAGAAATTGAAGACATGCAAGAAGAAGAAAATGAGAGAAAAAAGACGGAGAAAAAGAGACAAAGGGAGAAAACGACGACAAAAAAGAAAGAAAAATAAGAAAACAATGAAAAAGAAAAGAAGACAAAGATAGAACAAAATAGAAGAGAGAAATAGAACATAAAGAAAGTGAAAACGACAAAAATAGGGGCAAAGAGGAAAGGATGAGAGAAAAGCAAATGAAGTAGATGAAAAATGAAAAATGAAAAGAGTAATAAAATAAAAAAGAAAAAAAACAGATGCAGAGAATGGCGCAGAAATGAAAACGAAAAGGAGAGAAATAGTAAAAAAAAAAATGGTTAGAAGAAAATGAAGTTAAAGGAAAAAAAGAGAAGAATATTGTGGGAAGAAAAAAGATAATGGTGATAGAATAAACGAAGGTAATGTTAAGATGAAAAAAAGAAAATAACGTGAAGAAGAAGAAGAAGAAGAAGAAGAAGAAGAAGAAGAAGAAGAAGAAGAAGATTGTGAAAATAATATGAAATAGTATGGGGAAAGACGACGAAGAACACGAAGAGAAGAAAAAGAAAGAAAAGAAAACTGGGTGGATATAAAAGTAGATTGTGTAGAAAAAGCAGCATGTGAAAAGAAGAAGAAGAAGGAGAAGGAGAATAGAAAGAAAGAAAAGATAAAAAAAATATGAACAAATAGACTAAATACTTAAAGAAAAAGACGAACACAATGAATGTAAGCGTGAAAAAGAAAATGAGAAATGAACGCTGAAAGTATGTTGAGCAATGTCGAAGTGACAAACATCAGTTTTCGAAAGAAATAGGGGAAAAAAAACAAGTAAAAAAAGCGAATCAGAAACAGAAATCAATTCGCAAGAACGAATATGCGAAAGAAAAAAAAATCTCTTATATTAAAGTTATCCAAAACACAAAATCCAAGAAAGGAAGAAGCGACTAACTGAATATCAGAAAAGAAAAAGAAAACGGTAAGTCTGGGTAGCAGTTAGAAGCAGAAAAGGACATTGAAGAAGAGAAAAGGCTTGGTCAATGCCCGTCCAATTCTCTGAAGATTCTGTGATCTACGCCAACGCAAATGCCAATTGCCATAGATTCCTCATTGCAGATGTATCAATTTAGAAAGGCAATGCTCTTGCCGATTCTGGGAGCCGTCCTACTCATCGATTCAGATTGCATGATAAGGCCCATATCTCAGCGCAATATTAGATATTATTGTGCCACAAGCACGTACAACTGAATCTCCATGGGAACAGGTACACAGGTAGAAAGAAACAAATTCAGTCCCCCAAATGAGAATTCATTCCGAACTGTTATTCCATTATACTTCAACGCACATCGATTGGGTCCATAGCCTAGGTTGGGAACCAGTATAGCGCAGAAAGAATCGACAGCTTACTGTGGGAAAATCTTCTGCCTAGTCAGTCTCCATTCAAAAGATATCTGAACACCCAAGTTTGTATCTGGTATAGCGCTTAACCGACGGAATAAGTTGTTGAAAACTAAATAAGGTTTCAGGGGAGACCTGCTTATCGGGAAATATTCAGCAGATGCAGTCTGAAAATATTAAGTTGAATTATAAATTATTTCCCTATTTTTTCATCTAATTTTACATCTTCTCTCCTGTTCTGTCATCGTCCTGGGTATAACGACAAACTACACCAGGTAGCAAGGCTTCAGATCGATATGTTTTGAGTAGCGTGGAAACATCTCTTAACTGCTGTTCTACCTCGGTCCACTATGACCCGGTATAAGAAACACCAATTAGCATCTCAGCTATGTTCAAATAGTTAACCAATCAAAATGGGGTTAAAACACTATGAAAGTGCAGACGTAAATTTTTATAGTAAAGGTTCCAGCAATATATTTTCACAGTAAAAAATAATCAGTAATACATTTTTGTATAGAAAAAATATATATATATAAGCAATATATTTTTGCAAAAGAAATTATTAATTCTCACAAGAAAATTAAATTTTGGCATAAATGACCCATAAGGAATTGATATGTCGTTTAAAAAGAAAACAAACAAAATCTAACTCTGCTATTTTTGGCAATCTCTTCTTACTTTGCCTGTTGGAGCTGTTTCCTTTTGCGCTAAAATATAAATAAAATAAATTAAAATAAAAATAAAATAAAAAATAAAAATAAAATTAAAATAAGAATAAAGCTAAAAAAAAAAAAAAAGGAACAAAATCCTACTTTGTCTTCTTCGGCAATCTCTTCTCACTTCCCCTGTTGAAGCTGTTTCTTTATGCGTAGAGCCCTTAGACTTCTACCCACCAATACCAGATTTCCTCTTTCTATTAGGATAAGTCAGAAATAATTTCTATTTTTTATGTATGAACGTTATTCTTCAAAACTACTGCATATATATTCATCATTATTTGCAATGGCATCTTGCCTCTGATCAAACGATTATGTTTTTGTTGCGTTTGGGACAACCTCATTATTTGCCCATAAGCTACTAGAGGCTCTAAACAAATCTGACTTGGTTAAGCATCTCATATCAGAGGGACTTTAATAATTTTCGCTTCTCTAGATCAAATGTTGTTGTCTTAACGGTTCAGGGTCGATTAAGCTTTGGATAAGACTGGTGAAACGATATGGTATTTCCGCACTGATTTTTAAACTGATTCAGTCTTTCTTATCAAATGGCGAAATGAAAGTTACCCAAAACGGTTACTCTTCTAGATCTTTTTGTACTAATGCAAGTGTCCCCCAGGGTTTCCTCCTTGGACCTACTTTCTTCTTAATTTTCATCTATAACATCAGTCCTCAACTTGATATTTATACTATAGCACGACCATTTACTACTGTCTCGATAGTAAGTATGATTAGTTCAATCATATCAAATTTTCAGCTGAACTAAAAAAAAAATGACCTACAGTCTGTTGTTAACTGGAGCAAGGAAGGGCTTGCTAATTTTAACACCTCCAAAACGATCTGCTCTCTATTAATCACATGAAAGACCTCTTCCTGCCTCCCGTCAGCTGGTACGAACTTTCATGAGAGTGACTTGCTGCGTTCTCTCAGGCTAGCATACTCGTAAGTTCTGTGCTAACAATTTCTTTTTTCGCTAGTGAAACTCTTGCTTGTGGAACTATCTTTCGGTTCCATGCTTTTCGGCCAACATTGTTCTTCAAATATTTAAATGCAATCTCAGTCGTTATCTACTGTCTCCTTAATTACTCTTCTACTGTTCTCGCTTCTTAATTTCTTTTTTTTTCTTATTCTCTCATATTCACTAACATTCTTGTGCCTTGCGAGAAGGTACGGTGGAATAATGGATACCGCCTCAAATTGAGAAATCGCAGAGCCGAGTTCGAATTCCAGTCGAATCTATTACATTCACTTACGTTCTAATACCCTTGGAAAGGTATGGATCCTCTTCTTCTCTCCCCATCTATGGGTAAATAGTAGGATTAGACTGGGTTCTATAGCTGGATGTTAACAGCCCTACAGCAGAAAAAAATGGCAACCAACTCTGCCTCGTCAGTCATGTATCGAAAGATACATCATCGCCTAAGCGTGTATCACGCACGACACATAACTGAGTAACATTTCCTTGGACGTGGTGATATGATTAAAAAAAAATGTCCCTGTAGCCTTGTATTGGGTAATCATTAATAAAAAATTAAAATATTTAAAAAAAATAGAGAAACGGTTTGAATACTTGAATCAGGTTTGAAAACTTTTCCCCATCAAAGCATTTAAAGTGATCGAAATAATGGTTCAAGGTCAGTTGTATATGGAGTGCTTTCACAGTGGGGGCTTGTACTAAGACGGTCCTAAAATATGCCCATTGAACCCGTATAAACGTGTTCAGGGCCGGTTTACCTCCCCGAAAGAGACTCCGCCCTTCGGCGTGCCTCGTTCGGGTTCCTCCCCGTCTGAAGGCAGAGAGTTCAACCGGTCAGCCGGTTGTCCGACTTCAGACTGAACTCAGACCGACCCACTGAGCGATATTCAGTCACCCCCACCACGAGGGCATCATGTGGCACAGGGCCGGTTTAACGTGGGATCTTTGAGAGTTCAACCGGTCAGCCGGTCGTCCGACTTCAGACTTAACTCAGACCGACCCACTGAACGACTCGTTATTCTTGCTACTCCTACTTATTATAGGTGTGAGAGTCTATTAACCATAGAATAGGTGTGTTCCACTATAACAAGGGTAGAATTGACCCTCAGAAATCCCTATTTTTTCTGTGATATTCTTCCTGTATACGGCCTCACGTTGTCATAGTTATTCCAGTTAACGAGCTCAGGACACTTTTGGACCAAACATGTTGCAACTACTAGAAGTATAAATGTGAATTTTAATATCTCGTTTTCATTTTAAGTACTCTAAATGAATAATACACCGAGAAGCTACCATCGACACACAGCATAAATTTCTTCGATGTATCTCAGGTTATGGAAACTGTTGTGAGTTTTTATCCTTGTCAAACCATTGCCTTTGTCGTATATAATCTATCTTTCATAACCGTTTTATGATATATTTAAAGAACCGTTCATTAGGAAAATACATTAGTAATTACAATGGATTCTCCAAAACAGAAATTATTTATGACTCAGCCTTATATCTAAAAGGCAGTTTTTTCTTCCCGACTTTCACGGTAAGGTCATCCGCGTAACAGCTTCATAACGCCTATTATTTTGTTTGTACACCTTAGAAATGTAGATAGTTACATCATTTAGCTGATATCTATATTAGAATAACTGAATCCAACATAAAAAATCAGATTTTGGAATTAGTCAATTCTAAACACTTCTAATACCTCGCCGGATGGATCTCTTATAACACATTTAGTATAGAAGATAACAAAATTTAACATAGTTTCAATCAATACCACTAACTGATGCAAAACCAAAACATCAACCTAAAAACTCGAGACATGTTCTTAAATATCTCTGTCAGATGTATGGCGCCAAACCCGTTCGGAAATATCCAATCTGTGAACTGTATACAACCGTTTCCTAAGATCAATAGTGAAAAAAAAACAAGTAAAGCCTGAGGATTTTGGTTTTAGAACTATGTGGACTTGCGCTGCACAATCAAAATTAAAGACCAGTACCAAATGACAGAATCACTTGAGGACCTTCAAGAGTGGCAACAACTAAATAGATAGCACGTCTAACTCGAAGAGGAATTAATGAAACAGGAAGTTAGCTCTCCGCACCACTTCAAAGAAAAGGTTAGCAAGGAAACCGTCATCTATACTTAAAAGAGAGAAAACTATTTTCCTGAAAAATTATTTTAAGAGAAAGGTTTTATAAATGTCAATCGACTGTAGCATTGTCTTCTCTGTTAATGAATTCCGAATGTTTCCTTATAATTCTTTTCTAAGCGCTGCTTAGATGTGGCACAATGACGGAAGTATGGAGCACCCAGTGAGGAACGAACTCACTCTCCAGTCGTAATATTTTCTAGCAAGACAAGCCACCACGCCGAGGTGCCCAATGTTTTCTTATAAGGAATTGGCTCCTATTACCTTTATATTTAAAGGTGTCTTCCCGAAGATCATCATCATAATCATCATAATCATCATCAGATTTATGACCCGATGTATGTAAGTGTGAGGACATGACCAAGTTCCCTCCAAATACTTGTGTTGAAAGCTGGAAAGACATTTATTCAGGCTTAGCATGTGTTGAGCAAGTATACCTGAAGGGGGCCATCATTCTTCAGGTCAAACCACAGCTGGTGTCCTCCAACTTGCAATTCCGGAGATATGAACGTCTATTCCATCATGGTAACATTTCGCCCTGGCCGTTGACTTGGATTCCTTCCGTCCTACGGTGACGTGTCATCATCTCACTGAATTCATAGATGGATATGGGACTATTGTCATAGATATCTGTTGACCACACAAAAATGTTCATTCTTCCTTTGATAGATCTCTTTTTTTAATACCTCTGGGAGCCTAGCCGTACTCCTTACTAGTGTTAGTCATTGTTGATCTGACCATATGGC